AACAGGAATTTCCCGTGGTAACATTTCAGAGAACGCTAAGGGTCAGGAATCACAAGGACCGCCTCAAACTGCTCGTCGCTCACCTACAGAGGAGAAAGGAATGGGAGCTTTCCCACGGTTCCTCCCGGAACGAGGGACACCCCTCCTCTGGAGGGTTCCTGCTTGAGGCTGCTGTGCCAGCTGATCGCAGCGGTTAAAATCTAGATCCGTAGAATTATACAGAACCTGGTCTAAACACAGGCTCCAGTGCAGCCGGTGGTGTCGACTTTCTAAACCTTGCTTTAGTTTTCTGTAAAATGAGGTTAATAGTAGTAGTGTTCCCCTCAAAGAGTTTTGAGGACTAAATGAGAAAATGCTTGCAGCAAATGCATAGTACATGACCCTTTACTGTTATCTATCATAAAATAAACTCTGAGGGCCTGGTGGGGTCTGCTGCATCCCTGACCTTTGACACATGGTAGGTATAAAATAACTGTCTGTTGAATCAATGAATCAGTGGGTGTTGTAGGAAAGACACAGGGAAGAGACCTCTCTAAGACACAGGAAGGATCTTCAGGCGAAGGCAAGGCTGTAGGCAAGACTGATATATAGGTATCTCTGAAAAATCAGAAGTATTGCCAACCAGGTCATGGAAGCAATTAGGACTTCCAAGCCAGAGTGCTCAAAAAAGATCTGTCTGGGGGAAAAGTAAAGCATTCAATGAGGATTTTAAAAGAAGTATCTTTCAAGAGAGGGAGCCTTGCTTCATCTTATCTTTGCCACTCACACCACCCCCACTCCCTGTATCCTAGTGTTCCTGACTCTCCTTCTCTAAGTGAGTCTATTTCTCTATACTGGAAAAAGGGTGTTCTGTAATTGTTCATCACTCTGAAGAACTGTCTTCAGTTCATGGAGAATCCCATGGACTCAGGAGTCTGGTGGGCTACAGTCCATGGGGTCACAGAGTCAGACACCACTGAATGACTAACACTTTGACTTTCATGTGAGGATCAGATGCTTCAGTGATACAAAGGAGAACCTATTAAACCTTCACTTTAGACCTCGGTCACTTTTAACATGTGGGTGAATCTTTGAAATTTTAGAGGAATTAGAAGAGATGTCTTTAGAACCTTTGTTAACTGCTGCAGAAAGGATGTTCATTTTCAGCTTTAGTTCTGAAATTTCTAACACTGAGAGTCCTGGAAAATATCCACATACTTAACAGAAATGTGTTTGGAATCCTAACTTATTCTTGCCTGTCTTTACATGTTTCAGGACTACAAGTGCACCGGCAGGATCAAGCGCTGCTGCTGGCAGTAGTAGAAGACTTCAGCAGACACAAAATCAAGTGGATGAGGTATTTCTCTGAAATGTTGAAAATCTGAATTAGAAGCCAACATGAGAACACTCTGGGAATAGTTCTGTTTAGGAAAAGTATCATAGAAGTGTGAACGTAAAGTAAATTTGGACTATCCTAACTGTAACAAAAATCTGACCCCTACTGTTTTGGGAGCCCTTTTCTAAGCTTCTGAGAAGTCACATCCTCCTGGTTTCAGGCCTGTTTTCCTTAAACCGAATCACACACCTAAAGTACAGGCTCTTCTCCCTGAGGACATTCCTCCCAAGAATCACTTGGTGATGTATATTTTGCCACAATAAATTAAACATTAGAGAAGAAAAAAGAACTGCTTTATAAAATAATAAAATTTTAAGGATGAGGTCTATAGGTTGCAGAAGCTCGGATGAATCCTTCTGAACAAATTTTTCATCAGGATGCTTTTTACCAGTTACTCAGCCCAGCAAATCTCTGTCTATTGCCATCCAGTGCTGTGCAGGAGGTGGGTGCTGGCAAACTGCTCTAACCCAGCAGATCTGTGTTTGTGGCAATGTTAGGTTGGGAGGCCCTCAGAGCATCTTTTCTTTTGCCCTCTACATGCAGACCTACAGTGGAAAACTATTTGAGAAATTCAGGCTCGTATTTCCTTAGTCCTAAAAGCCATCATAGCCGAGCAAGGCTGTCTTGGTCTTTCTGCATTTACCTATCTTAAAAAGCAGACTTAAACTAATGTTAGATCCCATTGTTAAGTCTTATGGCAATATTTTGGTCCGATGGTTTTGTTTATGAACTAAATTCTGAATTTTTTACAGTTTCATGCTAAGAAACCCATTCTAATTCCATCTTCCATGAAACTTCTGTTTACTTATGAACTCAAATTGGGTCCTTTTTCTTTTTTTTTTTTTTTTACATTTTTAAAAATTAATTTATTTTTTGTTGAAGGATAACTGCTTTACAGAATTTTGTTGTTTTCTGTCAAACCTCAACATGAATTAGCCAAAGGTATACACATATCCCCTCCCTCCCCTTGGTACTTTTTCTTTACCAGGGAATTTTGTTTTGTTTTTAACTGAAGTGGAAATTTGCATAATAGCCACCTTAGAATGTGTGATTCATGGCATGTGATGTATTCACAATGTGGAAATTTGCATAATAGCCACCTTAGACTGTGTAATTCAGTGGCATGTGGTGTGTTCACAATGCCCTTCGGCCATGCCTTTTGTCTAGCTCCAGTTTCTTCATCACCCCTGAAGAACACCTTGTAGGCATTTAGTAATCACTTCCCATTCCCTCTTCCTCCAGAGTGGTAGCCTCTAATTGACTTTCTGTTTCTATGGTTTTGCCTGTGCTGGATATATCATATAAAAGGGATAATACAATGCGTGGCCTTTGTGTCAGGCTTCTTGAACTTAGCATCATTTGTTCGATATTCATCTCTGTTGTAGCGTCTGTCAGTACATCATTCCTTTTTGTAGCTGCATAGTATTCCATTGCAGATGGATACCTCAGTTTATCCATTCGTCTGTTGATAGATTTTTGAGTTATTTTCCCTCTTTGGCTGTTATGAATCATGTTACTATAAACATTTGCACGTGAGCTTCTATGTGGACATCTATTTTCATTTCTCTTGGTTATGTATCTAAGGGCTTCCCTGGTGGCTCAGTGGTAAAGAATCTGCCTGCAATGGAGGAGATTACCTGCAATTCAAGAGATGCAGGTTCCATCCTTCAGTAGGGAAGATCCCCTAGAGAAGGAAATGGCAACCAACTCCAGTATTCTTGCCTGGGAAGTTCATGGATGGAGGAGCCTGGTGACCTACAGTCTATGGGCTCACAAGAGTCTACATGACTTAGTGACTAAACCACCACCATAGTAAGCTGTATTTAACTTTTTGAGGAACTGTCGCACTTTTCCACAGTGGCTACACTATTTTGCCTTTCCACTAGCCATGTCCAAGAGTTCCTATTTTTCCACATTATCACCAACACTTGTTATTGTCTACTATTTTGGTTATAGCCATCCTGAACTGATCCTAATGAGTATGGATTAGTAACTCTTTGTGGTTTTAATTTGCATTTCCTAGTGATCAGAGATGCTGAATATCTTCTCATGTGGTTGTTGGCTGTTTGTATAAATTCTTTGTAGAAATGTCTGTTCAAGACCATCACCAGTTTTTTAATTGGGTAGTCTGTTTTTAATGTTGGTTGATAAAGAGTTCCTTATATATTCTGGATGTTAAATCTTTGTCAGATACATGATTTGCAAATATTTTCTGCCATTCTGTGGATTGGCTTTTCGTATCCCTGATAATGTCTTTTGAAGCACAAAAGACTTTAATTTTTATGAAATTCAGAATATCTAGTTTTTTCCCTTGTTGCTCTCGCTTTTGGGGTCAAATCCACAGCCAAACCCAAAGTTGTAAAGAGTTATGTTTTCTTCTAAGAGTTTTATAGTTTTCAGCTCTATATTTGGGTCATTGATCCATTTTGAGTTAATTTGTGCACGTGAGGTAAGGTAAGGGTCCAACTTCATTCTTTCACATGTGGCTGTCTAAGCACCAAGTTTTGAAACTCAAAAGTATGACTCCTCCAATTTTGTTTTTCTTCTTCAATATTGTGTCGAGTGTTCAAGTCTCCTTGGAATTCCATATGAATTTGAGGACTAGTTTTTACATTTAGGCAAAAAAAAAAAAGCCATTGGAATTTTGATAGATTGAATTGAATCTATACATGTGTACATCACTAGGGGGAGTTTTGCCATCTTAACACTGTAAATTAAGTCTTTCAACCTATGAAAGTGGGATGTCTTCCCATTTCATTAGGTCTGATTCCTTTTGGCAGTGTTTTGTAGTTTTCAGCGTGCAAGTCTTTGGCCTCCTTGGTTTAATTTATCCCTGGGTATTTTATTTTTGGGGGTGCTATTGTATGGAATTGTTTTCTTGATTTCCCTTTCTTTGCTAGTTATGGAAGCACACTAATTTATGGCTGTTGATCTTGTCCCCTAAAACTACTGAGTTTGTTTACTAACTATAGTAGGGATTTTTGGTAGATTCTTTGGGATTTTCTGTACATGGAATCATCTGCAAACAGAGATCATTTTACTTCTTTTCTAATTTGAAAGGAAAGTGAAAGTTGCTCAGTCGTTTACGACTCTTTGCAACCCCATGGACTGTACAGTTCATGGAATTCTCCAGGCCAGAATACTGGGGTGGGTAGCCGTTCCCTTCTCCAGGGGATCTTCCCAACCCACGGATCGAACCCAGGTCTCCTGCATTGCACGCAGATTCTTTACCAGCTGAGCCACAGGGAAGCCACCAGGAAGCTTTTCTAATTTGGATGCCTTTTAATTTCTTTTTCCTACCTGGCCAGAGCTTCCAGTACAATGTTGAACAGCAGTAGTGAAGGTGGGCCTCCTTGTCTTTCACCATTGAGCATGGATGTTAACTGTTTGTTTTCCACAGATACCCTGTAACATGTTAAGGAAGTTCCCTTCTATCCTAATTGGCTGAGTGTTTTTATCGTGAAACAGTCAACCCTTTTTTCTTTTTTTTTAATGGAAGTTTGACTCAAAAGCGTAAAGAGCTGACCTGAAAAAAAAAAATGCCAGTACACTTCATTGAGGAGTTGCGTTTCTCCTTCCTTTCCTTGTACCTGAATGTGACCACATTCTTCAGGTGGTGGACATCATGAGAGTCAATGTGGATAAAGTGTTGGAAAGAGACCAGAAGCTCTCGGAGTTGGATGACCGTGCAGATGCGCTGCAGGCAGGAGCCTCCCAATTTGAAACAAGTGCTGCCAAGTTGAAGAGAAAATACTGGTGGAAGAATTGCAAGGTACTTCGCTTTTAACTGGTCTTTATATCAAGTCACCGTCTTGTCTCAGGGGGGTAGACAAAGGCTACAAATACTGGACTTTCATGAGCCTTAGAGGTGAATCTGCCTTCCCACACAGAAATTTGCATTGACTTTGAATCTAAAACTCTGACTACATATCGTTTTTCTGCCCCCACAATTGAGAATGCTCCATGCTTTGTGGCTGACCTTCAGAAGTTTGTAGAACCAGGCAGGTCCAGAATCAGTCACAGACAGCAACCCCTTCCAGCCCTGCACACAGACTGACAGGAGAGGGCTGGAACAGGAAGGTCAGTTTGCATGCAGGTGCAAATGGCTCCAGGGTAAAAGGAAAGAGGTGCTGGAGAGCTGCAGCATGCTCCACAGAAAAGCAGGAAGCACCATATGAGGAGCAGGGCCCAAAGTGGGCTGCAGTCACATCCCTTCCTGGGTTGGAAGAGTGACACTTTCTGATACCTGACACAGGCTTAATCCATGTATCCACAGACATGCCTATCTAGGGACCATAAACCATTTGAACATGTTATAAAAAAGCAGATAGGTGAGCGTCAGCACCTATCTGAACATTAATAAGAACATTAAGTTTAGGCCTTAATAATTATGACTATTTGGGATGGGTGGGCACCTTAACTTCTCCTTCTGTGACTAGAATGACACTAAATGGTACTCTTCAGTTGGCACGTTAATCTCTGGGTTTGAATGTGAAGTGGATGTATATTTGGTTGCAGATGTGGGCGATAGGAATCACCGTTGTGGTCATCATCATCATTATCATCGTCGGTGAGTTCTCCTGCTCCAAACTCATTGCAGAAAGTCTTGTCTGTTCACATTTGACTCCATGTACAAGAGCTCAGAATAAAAGTTCCCTTGGAGATGTTAATGTATCCCAAAGGTTTTCCTTTTTGTTAGTAAGTGTTGTAAATACTTGAGTGCTGAATCTGAGATTTTCAATATAAACATTATCCTGATCCATAAGTTTGATCTCTGAATATACTTTCATCAGATATTTCCTTTCATGAGAAATAGTATAGCCGAGTGATGAAGAGCATGGACTACTTCTGATCACTCTACAATCCAGCTGTGTGGCCTTCAACAAGTAATTTCACATCTCTGAACCTCAATTTCCTCATTTATAAAATGGGGACAATAATACTACTACCTACCTCATATGTTTATTATGAGGACAAAGCTGTTAATATATAAAATGTGCTTAGAATGGTGCCTGGCATATAATAATAATAGTTATATAAAGAAACATATATACACCCACACTATCATTAACACTATTACTATAACCATTACTACTACTGTAGACAGTATCGGAACAGCCCATTGCCATTAGTAGCCCAGTACATGAGAACTGTTTAAAGAAACATGTCTTGGATCCTTTCTTCAGCAGCCTCCTCTAATCTTCCACAAGATGTAGAGAAACCACTAGTAGGAAATTGGCCAGAAATTGAATTTCTGTTCACACTTAGACTGTAGGGTTTGGTGTTTATTCTGTGTTTGCACTGAAAGACTAAACAGCTATTCTCCCCGCTCCCCCCTCCTTTTTTTAATCTTCTCTGCTTACTAGTGTGGAGTATCTCTTCCTGAAGAACCAGTGAAACTCCAGCCTGCTGTTCAAGAAACCTCTTCAAGACTTTTGATTTAGAACCTGCTATATTATCAAGCTTGCCTACTGTTCTATCTAAAATGATTATTTTTCTGTTAGTGACTGTAAAGTTTGTTTCCTAGATGTGCCTTTGTTTTGTAATATGCACTCCAAACTAGAAGCGTGGTCAGCCCAGCCTCCGTTTTGCACAGTGCCTTTTCAGATTTACAAGTGGGCTGATGGAGAGGACTTCTTTAGTTGCAGAGTGTTATAACCTAGCAGTAATGTTGTCTGGTTAATTGCCATTGACTGCAGTTAAGGAAATTTGTCCCAAGTTAACTGTCCTCATCATATGACATTACCCTCATTTTAAACCTCTGGGTAATCAGATTCCAATTTGTGCCTTCCAGAAAGAACACTACTGCCTAACACAAATCTGTGACAATAACAGGCTGTGCCTTATTTTGCTCTTTTTCTGATTCCCTATAGCAGAACTCTCTACTGTTTATAGACACTACTGACTCCTTTGCTGTATTTTAAAATAAGATACTGGTAAAGAGTTTTTGCTCTTACATTAGATATGAAGATGTTTACTTTCTTGTTACTGTTATGTATCACTTGCTAAAAATATTGTTTTAATCAGAAATAATAACCTCTTTAAAACATTTTTGTAGAACGATGGCTGTGACCAAAGTTTCTGTCTTGCCAAAAAGTTAAATCCCAGTCAGACATCAAGTTTGTTCCTGACAGATAAATTCAGAAAAGTAACCAGTGGAACTCAAGGTGCCCTTCAGAATTAAACTTGTAATGTTTTGTGTGAACCTCTGACATCCTGGCAGGCCTTTCCTGCCCTTGAAAGGCTATAGATCTTGCAACTGCCCTTCCAATCTAGAATTTTTCCTGAGGTTTACAGAGGATTTGAGCTCGATACTGACCGTCTCCTACCTGTGGGCAGCATTTTACTCAGCAGTTTGCAGATTATCAACTGTAAGCTCCAGTATGTTTCTAATAATTATGTGAGCAGCAATTGTGTAGCCTTCACTTGAGACCATCTGTAGATGGGTCATTTTCTGGTCCAGTCCCCATGGACAACAGCTTCTTGGAGTTTGTTTCCATATTCCACTCCCTAAATCTGTCTTGTAAATTTCACTTTCTACTAGGCATTGGTCAGGGTAGATGACCCAGGAGACAGCTAACAAGAGACATTTTCTTTGATGTCACAGAGTTTCTGCATGGGATGCTGCTTTGGGTAGAGGTGTTGTCAGCTGAGAGACTTTTGTTGCGTACGTGAGACTTTGGACACCAGGGTGAGTGGCTTAAGGTCAAGAAGTCAGGTAGGAATGAAAACAGGCGAGGAGGCACCGAGGGGGAAAGAAGTCTTAGCACCCTGGGGCTCACCGTGACCAGAATGTTCACAAAGTCTCGTTCACATGCTACTTGGTAACGTACAAAGCGACAGCAGTTAAGGTGCATCAGGACCCGGGTTCCACTTCTTTAACATCTGTTCCCCTGACGTCAATGCAATGGTATGAAGTTGAAGACGTGCCTTGCGGTGTGCCCTGCTGGGAGAAGGGGACAGCAGTCAGTGTCTGGACAGTGGCCCACCCTCATCTCAGGTCTCTGCCAGGTCTGACTCTGCAGCTTTGGTGCTTGGTCCCGTGTAACCCACTGGCTGCTGCGTTAACCCAGGAATACCCCACCTGTATCTGTGTGTTTAGCTGGGAACTCACCTGCTATAATGAACTGAATAAAGTGTTTATAAACATAACTGTGGTGCCTGTGTCCCTGATAGAGGAGTAGCGCGTGGTCCAAGTCCTGAGAAACGGCGTTCCCTACTGCTCAACCCCCTCCCTTATAGACCCTGACTCCCCTTCCTCATTGCCTGAGGACCCTGATGTCCTCACACCCCACTCCCTGTGTAAAAAAGTGCTCTTCAGCTGAGGAGATGTTGGGGAACCGGCTTCCTTATGGTCACTGAAACACTTAGGATTTGGCTTTTGAGTTTCTTAAATAGATGGTCTTTCAGAAATGAGTTGTGCAGAGCTGGCCAGTATGTGTTGGATCAGACAGCTGCCCACGTGGGACGTGGAGAAGTTGACCCAGGTGGGGGATAGACATCTCCAAACTGTGTCTCTTGTTTTCATTCGGCATATCTCTTTCCCCTTGAATATACTTCCACACTTATTCTACAACCCCTACAGAAAAATATAATATGGGTGGAAGGAGACTTGCTTATGTTTACATGAAATGTCAGTTTTCAGTAGAATCCAGTGAAAAAGAGGTTGACTTCTTTCCATTGCCTCAGGTAGATGGTGACTGCATTTCTTGTCTGACAGGCAGTCATGTCCCTGGAAAAGCACTGAGAATTCTGCCTTTTGTTCAGGACCTTGAGAGAATGAAATACATGTGAACCCTTGGTATCATTTTCAAGATTTTAAAGGAAAATCTACCATAAATGGGCTCCTCTTTCACTGCTTATCCCTTAAATGTCAGGGTTCCTTAGGGTGGGTCCTCAGCCAACGTCTCTTTTCATTCTACTTAACCACCTGCCTCCAGGCAATCTCTCTGCTCTTGATCTCTCCATTCATGAATCTGCTGACGATTCCTGGCCTATTGGATAGAAGCCTCTCAGACTCAGTGTTCACCAGACAAGGAAACCCTTCCTTCCTCACGCTCTTCCTGTCATTAACTGTCTGTTGCAGAGAAGGGCCCCATCACCCACCCAGGGGTCACTCCAGACACGTCTGCTGGACTTGCTGGTATTTTTGGTCACCATCTGTTACCACTCAATGTGCTGGAAGTGTGCTGTGTAACCGACACCCCCGAAATCGCAATGGCTTCAAGTTTTTTCCTCGCTTGTGCTCTGTGTCCGATGCCAGTCAGCAGGAAGGCGCTATCATCAGCTCCTGCAGACGGGGTGGGGAACTTCCTGTAAACATTCATTTTAGTTTATCACTGCAGAAGAAAGGAACCATCAGGAATTGTGCACTGGCTCTCAAAGCCCCCGTCTGGATATGGAGCCAGCAGCTCTGCTCACTTTGATCGACCAAAGTGACTTAGTTGACCGTGGCTCACCTCAGAGGTAGAAGGGAGTCCTACCTGTCACCCAAATGAGAAGTGGAACCTCTATGAACATCTTCCTCTGTGTTGACATTTCAGTCAAAGAATGTGGGCAGATTCCCCTGTCTTGTTCAGTCAGTTGTGTCCGACTTTGTGGCCCCATGGACTACAGCATGCCAGGCTTCCCTGTCCTTCACTGTCTTCCATAGTTTATTCAAACTCATCTCCCTTGAGTTGATGATGCCATCCAACCATCTAGTCTAATGAGTCGTGTCCCCTACACAATAAGTCTACATTTACATCACAAATGAAATGTTTTTTAAAGTATGGTAGTTTTTTCACTGGTTTTGAATGAGGATTAATTATTTGCTTTAAAATTGACCAGGCTGCTTAGCTCATTAAAAAATAAGCAAACTTACTTCCAACTGAGCTGCTTTTCATAGTAGCAGAAAATTCAACCTGTAAAAACTAGAATTTACTAAATAAACCAATTATGGTATAGTTATTATTAGGAAATATTTTTTTCCCCTCATCCTTTAAATAGCTAAGTGCATTTAGAAATCTACTTGGAGACCAAGAGGGATCGGGTGGAGAGGAAGGTGGGAGGGGGGACCGGGATGGGGAATACATGTAAATCCATGGCTAATTCATTTCAATGTATGACAAAAACCACTGCAATGTTGTAAAGTAATTAGCCTCCAACTAATAAAAATAAATGGAAAAAAAATAAAAATTAAAAAAAAAAAAGAAATCTACTTGGCTCTATACTATCACACGGACAATCCCCTGTTGGCAGAAGTGCCTGCCTCTGGGCAACGCTGTGGATTCCCAACCTCAGGAAGGACTTCTCTCCAGCCATTGCCTCTTATCTGCAGCTCTTCCTTTCTGTGTCATTCACCTCCTACTGGATCACGCCATCACTTAATAGTGATCCCTGCATCCCTGCCTCCAGTCAACAAATGCTTGTCTATAGCTCTTCACAGCAAAATTCCTCCCTGTCTTCCTGTAGTCACCATCACACATACTCTTTCTCATCAGTCTACACCACTGAGACATCTGTAACCAAGGTCATCATCTTGGTGAAGGCCAACAGGAAATTCTCTGCCTTTGTCTCACTCTGCTTGTCACCAGCATTTGATACAGTTGCCAGCTGTCTCCTTGAAATGCTTCATTATGGAGCTTGCAGGACCCTAAACTCCTGGCTTTCTTTTAGCCTTATCTATGGCTCCTTATTCTTTGCCTGACCTTATCTCCCTATGCCCTGAAGCTTGGCCTTTGGCCTTTCTCTGTCTGCACTCTGTCACTGACACCATTTCACCCACCACTGTGAACGCCAGAGGCTCTGATGACTCCCTTAAATGTAAGCTGTATCTCCACCCCTGGTTTCTCCCCTAAGCTCCCAGCTGGCAAATTCAATTGCCTACCTGACCACTCCACTTGGATGTATGACACACATCTCAAACGTGGTGTGTAGAAAACAACTCTCTTCTCCATTAAAACCTGCAATCCCCAGACTTGCATTCAGTAAATATTTGCTGAATAAACGCAGTTTAACAAAACAGGGCTTCAGAGGAGAGTGAATATCATTTGAAAAAATAAGGTGGTTTATCTAATACCCAGGGTTCCCAGGTGATGCTAATGGTAAAGAATCTGCCTGCCCATGCAGAAGCCAGAGGAGACGGTGGGTCATCCCTGGGTGAGGAAGATACCCTGGAAAAGTGGCAACCCACTCCAGGATTCGTGGCGGGATAATCCCAAGGACAGAGGAGCCTGGAGGGCTACAGTCCATGGGGTCGCAGAGTCGGACACGACTGAGTCACTGTACATGCACACATGCATTCAATACCTAATATGACCTGCCACATTCCGCTTTACCCTCCTCTTTTATGCACAATTGCTTCAATTCATCCAACCAATACTGAAGATTTCTGTACCAGGCACTGCAGATGCGCAGAATCTCTGCACATCACCTTCCACTTCAGGTAAGTCGAGGCACAATTAAAAAGAGCCCTCTGTGTCTTTTTTTTTTTTTTTCCTCTGTGTCTTTTAAAGGGCTTCTCTACACTTCCTCAGAGAAGGCAATGGCAACCCACTCCAGTTCTCCTGCCTGGAAAATCCCATGGACGGAGGAGCCTGGTAGGCTGTAGTCCATGGGGTCGCTAAGAGTAGGACACGGCTGAGCGACCTCACTTTCACTTTTCACTTTCATGCATTGAAGAAGGAAATAGCAACCCACTCCAGTGTTCTTGCCTGGAGAATCCCAGGGATGGGGGAGCCTGGTGGGCTGCCGTCTATGGGGTCACACAGAGTCGGACATGACTGAAGCGACTTAACAGCAGCTATACTTCCTTTCCAAAATAGTGTCTTTTACAAACACTTGTCTTTCTCCAGCTGCTAAATGAAATCTTTAACTTTAGGAAGACGAGGGAAATGTTTCAAGTTGTGAGAATTCCACTTCTGAAAACCAGGTTTGATCCTCCCAGCTCACTTAGTTTTGGCAGGAGTGAGAGCAAGAAGGTCGTTAACAAAGATGGAAACTTGAGAAGACACAAGGAAAGCGCTGCGCTAGAACTTCCAGCGCCCTCCTCCGGATACCCAACCCGTAGGCAACACTCTCCGGACATCTGCTGGCGCTCCCTGGAGCAGCTGCCAGTCACGTGGAGGCTGGGCCGACCCCGCCCACCCTGCCGCTCGGGGTCCCGTCCCCTCGTGATTGGTGGCTCTGGTGCCCTATCACTGTCGCGCTCGCTCCAGCGGCCCGCGTGGCCCATCCCCTGACGCCGTAAGGGGGCGGGGACAGGGCTTCCTCAGGGTCCCTCCGCCCCCTGCCTACGCGCCGACCAGTAGGATTGGTCTTGTGCAGTCATCAGGCCGAACCCCCGGCGTTACGTAACGGACTCTGAGGCCTTTGCCCGTCGCTCCCTCGCCTCCGCTTCTGTAACCCGGACGCCTCGGAGCGGACCCCGCCCCCGGGCCAATGGGGACCCATAGAGCTGGCGGAGGCGGCCAATCGCGGGCCCAGGGGGCGGAGCCGTGTCACGTGGCTCGCGGGGGGCGTGGTGCCGGCGGTCGCCTGGCACGCGGCGGGCCTCGAGACCGCGCGGGGTGGGATCCGCTGGGTGAGCAGCGCCGGCGGCGGCGTGTGAGTGCTCGGCCCGGGTGGGGTGGGCTCGGAGCCCGCCGGCCGCGGTCGCCCCAAGCCTGTCCTGCGCTGTGAGAACTTTGTGCTTCAAGAGGCTCCTTGTTCCGTCCTGTTCCTGGGTGCGCGGCGATTATTGGGGCTGCCGGGGCCGCGGTCTCCCCCAGGGCTGCCCACCCCAGGAGCCACAGCCGGGCTTCCGGAATCAAATTGTTTCTGTTGACACTTGTCACTTTTATTTCCATCCTCCCCCTCCAGGATGGATCTTCGGTGGGCGGAGACATCCAAAATTGCAGGGAAGTACTGGGGAGAAAAGTGCCCCCGGAGGAGCAGGGTCAGTAATTGCCCGCTAATGATGACTGACATCTCTAAGGCGATGGCATGGACCACAATGAGAAATACGGTTCGGTGGCCGATTGCAAAGTAGCAAAGAGCAGGCGACTGACTGAGGGCTGCTGTGCGAAGATGGATCCCTGTGAAGATGTAGAAAGGTCTAGTGGTAAATCTCAGAACCCCAGGGGGAATCAGCGTCATGAAGGACCACAGGCCAGTGGTCCTGAGGCCCCCGGGAATGAAGCTGCTGAGCTCTGGAGCCAGAAATGCGAGCTGCGGAGCAAATTCGTGCAGACCAGCAACAGGTGACATGAACTGATGTGTTTGCTGTTCTTTGCTGGGTCAGTAGAAGGGAAAGACGGGCTTCCATCTTTTTGCATTTTGTTTGTAAGCCTAGGAAAAAAGTTTACCGGGAGTCTCCAGCAGCTTGGAATGAAATACCTTGGAGACACTGAAGGAAATTAACTATATAAGTAGGTTAAAAGTGGTTAGGGAATTGCTGACTCTAGGCTGAAGTGGGACTCAAATAGTAGAAAAGGTTTGATGTTTACCAATTTCTTGACCTGTGATTCCCCACATGTAAAAAGGGGATAATAAATCTGTGAACTGAATGAGCTGATTCATGTTAAGTGCTCAGAAAGCAGGTCTGGCCCGAAATACACTGTTCAGTGAAAGTTGACCTATTGTAATCCAAAGTGTAATCGAAAATTAGTGTAATCTAATTTTTCCAAATTTAGAAAAAAAATTTTTTTTGTATCTTACAGTGAACAGCAAGATCGAAACAGAGTTTCTGAAGAACTTATAATGGTTGTCCAAGAAATGAAAAACTACTTCCCATCGGAAAGACGTGGTAAACCAAGCGCACTGGATGCCCTTACCTACACCCTTCGCTGTGTGCGCAGTGTACAAGGTGAATGGGCTACGCTGAGAATACAGTCTTGCACACACATCACTGCTCATAAATGGCAGCCAGGCCAGAAGCATTGTCTGCTTGGTTTTGCGCCCAGAAGTGTTTTGAGTTTTTTATGCTGTTCTCTGTGAGATGAGTAAATCTACACTGATGCCCCTGGCATCTTAGTTTTTCAAATTAGCACTGTGTGCATGCGCTTCAGTCGTGTCTGACTCTTTGCGACCCCTGGCGCCTCTGCCAGGTGCCTCTGTCCATGGGATTCTCCAGTCATGAATATTGGATTGGGTTGCCATGCCCATCTCCAGGGGATCTTCCCACCCCAGGCATCGAATCTGCGTCTCCTGCTTGGCAGGTGGATTCTTTACCACAGAGCCATCCGGGAAGCCCTATTTGTGTAGTAGTTTAGTATTTTTGTTGCAGTATTTTGCATTTTTATTTCTATTTCGGGAGAGTAAGAGTTTGGCATAACCACATTTTGGAAATTCACTTTTTAAAGGGATATTGTCTTCTATAATTATTGAGGGGAAAATACATTTACATTTCCCTGTCATAGACATACTTTTAAAATGCAGTCATGTCATGTCAGGAATTTACCAAATTAAAATGCAATGGTTGTAAACACCTTTTCTTTTGACAATTTTCTTCTCAAGGGATTTTAAAAGTGCACGTTCTGTAGCACAAACCTCTGTGGCTTCATAGATGATATAGATGATATATAATTCCTGAATACTGGAGTAGTGTTTCTGCCATGCAAATCCCCTCTGTGTATATTGAGAATTTTTGGTTTCGGTACCTTGTCTTGGTACTTTAAATTTATCTCGTTCCCTATGAACCAGAACATGCCAAATTCATAAATTCAAAATCTTAAGTTTATACACCTGTTAGTGTTTTAGGTGAAAGAAAAAACTGATCTTTCAAGGAAAATCTTCCGAGGTGCCCTTATCCTAAAAAAATTTGCCAACTTTAATCGTGATGAAAATGACTTCCTAAAGATATTGTTGTGAAACAGCCTACCTATCTATTTTCCTGTGTTTCTTAGCAAACAGTGAGTCTTTCCAGATTCTCAGTCAGAATGGGGCACCTCAAGCTGATGTGACCTTGTGCAGTCTGGAGGAGCTGGCCACTATTGCTTCAGAGCACACTTCCAAAAACACAGTAAGAATTCACAAGTTTTGCCATATCAGCCAGGGTGGTTTTTCCTAGGGACCTTATCTTGATGTAGAGTCTTAAAAGTGACAACTGAACATTTCTGTAACCACAGTTTGAGGTAAACAACTGGAGAAAACTGCTAATGAGGCATCTCAAGTTTCTCCTGTCCTTGACAAAGAAAACATCTGAAAACAGGAAGCAGCACATGAGTGTTAGTTGGCTTTGCTTTGGTTCTGGGGTGCCTCTCTCTCCTTAGCATCCCTGAGTTCTCCCAAATTAAGAAAAAGATAAAAGCAACGCTGCAGAATAATTTCCTGCATCGTATTCTAATCTCCAAATGTTGATTTCTATTTATATCAATCTTAGTTCCAATACCTACTACTCCAGGTTGTAACAACTGGATTTTATAAAGCAGGTAAGTTGAGATGATGTCATCTTTTGTAAAATTGTGAAAGAGTTATTTAGTATTTATCTTTTCATATGGACAGAATAATTGAGGTTCATGTTTTGCTGACATGATGGGGATTACTTAATTTATGTGTAGTGCGTGCATGCTAAGTCACTTCAGTCGTGTCCGACTCTTTGTGACCCCATGGACTGTAGCCCACCAGGCTCCTCTATCCATGGGGATCTCCAGTCAAGAATGCTGGAGTGGATTGCCATGCCCTCCTCCAGGGAATCTTCCTGATCCAGGGACTGAACCTGCATCTCATGTCTCCTGCATTGGCTGTCAGGTTCTTTACCACTGTCACCATCTGGGAAGCCCAATTTTTGTATAGACCTCAACATAATCAGTCCTGAATATTCATTGGAAGGACCAATGCTGAAGCTCCAATACTTTGGCCACCTGATGTGAAGAACCGACTCACTGGAGAAGACCCTGATTCTGAGAAAGACTGAGGGCAGGAGGAAAAGGGGACAAGAGAGGATGAGATGGTTGGATGGCATCACCGAGTAGATGGAACAAGAGTTTGAACAAGCTCCGGGAGTTGGTGATGGACAGGGAAGCCTGGCATGGTGCAGTCCTTGGGGTTGCAAAGAGTTGGACACGACTGAGCGACTTCACTTTCTTTCTTTCTTATATATAAATGAGAAAAAGAAAGTATTTGTGAATTTATACACATAGAAAATGTTGACAGAGTCAGTTTTTTTCTAAGTCATCTTGAATGTCTGGTCATTAGAATTTTCTTATGAACCTTTATCCTACAAATGTCTCTGTGACTGGTCCTCTATTTGATACTACTGTTTGGGAGACATTGTTTTTGTATACTTTTAAATACTCTGTATAAATTTATAGCCTGCTTTCTTCATTTAACATGATAAGCATTTTTCTATGTTATAATATGATCTTTGTAGACTTTTTAAAAGGCAGTGCAATAGAGGGCCTCAAGAGACCTCTGAAAAAGTGAAAAATGTTAGTTGCTCAGTCATGTCTGACTCTTTGTGACCCCATGGATTGTAGCCCACCACTCCTCTGTCCATGGGAATTCTCCAGGCAAGAATATCAGAATGGGTTGCCATTCCCTTCTTCAGGGGATCTTCCCCACCCAGGGATCAAACCCAGTTCTCCTGCATTGCAGGTGGGCTCTTTACTGCCTGAGCCACCAGGGGAGCCCTCTGAGACCTCTATGGAACTTGTGAAAAGTATAGACTCCTAGTCTCACCCCAGAAACGCTGATTTAGGAAGCAGTGAGCCTGCAAATCTGGTTTTTGGAAGTTTGGTAGGTGATTTTGATGCAACACCTCTGGTAACCAATGCTTCTTAGATTGTGTTAACCCTTTCCCCACAGTATAGGCACTCAGGTTGCTTGCAGCTTTTATAAATGCTGTAATGAACATCTCTGCATACCTTTTCTTCATATTTAGAGTTTATCTGAAAAGTACTGTTGAAAGTGCGTAAGGTACAACAGTCACTTGCTGTGAGTGACATGCTGCCTGTGCTGTGTCTGTGCTCAGGGCCGTGCCTTTCCTGGGTTACCTACCTCAGGACCTGATCGAGACATCCATCCTAGAGTACCTGCACCCAGAAGAGCGCTCTCTGATGCTTGCCGTGCACCAAAAAGGTAAGCACCTGCTTCTTTACAGGAGGGCATTTTTTTTTCCCACTGATCTTCTTAAATTTTTCATTTCATTTCTCACTAGAGCTTCTCTCAAGCACTAATATCATTAGAAGTGCTCAGTCACTCCGTCCTCTGCAGCCGCCTGGACTGTAGCCTACCCCCATGGAATTTTCCAGGCAGGAATGCTGGAGTGGGTTGCCATTTCCTCCCCCGGGGGAACTTCCCAACCCAGGAATCGAACCCATCTCTTGTGCATTGGCAAGCAGTGCCACTAGTGCCATGAGTGCCACTTGGGAAGCCCCTTAATCATCAGAATCTTACCTTTAATCAAGAAAACAGTGTGTGGAAACTATTGAAACAATATTTTTTTCTATTCTGATATTTTCAAACATTTACAAATAAGTGCCTTAAGAGAGGCATTTGTAACAAACATTCATGTTAAATAACTTCTGTCTTATTGTTTTACGTAGTCTTGAAGTATGCCGGCCATCCTCCCTTTGAACACCTGCCCATTAGATTTTGTTCTCAAAATGGGGATTACATCATACTGGACTACAGTTGGTCCAGCTTCGTGAACCCATGGAGCCGGAAGGTTTCTTTCATCATCGGTCGCCATAAAGTGCGAACGTAAGTCAATCAGTTTTCATATTTTCTAAAAAATGTTTTTTCAAATAACATTCTCAGGCCTGTTGACTCCCCTTTGAATCAGTTGACACATGAACTCAACAAAGAGCAGGTTTTTGACAGTTTCTAGAAGACAGTTTGGCTTTTAAATATTAAGAGCCTTGTAATATTTCTACTTCTACTTCCTTGGCCTAGTAACTCTATTATGGGAGTATTCTAAAGAAATAAGTCTAAATACTGAGAGCTTAGTAAAGAAAAGACAGATTCTGCAATGTTATTTAATTGTAATAGCTTGTTATTGTTGTTTTTCAATGGCTAAGTCATGTCCGACACTTCTTGATCCCATGGACACACACCAGGCTTTCCTGTCCTTCACTGTCTCGTGGAGTTTACTCATACTCTTGTCCACTGAATTAATGATGCTGTCTAATCATCTCATCCTCTGCTTTCCCCTTCTCCTTCAGTCTTTCCTAGCATCAGCATCTTTTTCAGTGAGTCGGCTCTTTGCATCAGGTGGCCAAAGTACTGGAGCTTCAGCTTCAGCATCACTCCTTCCAATGAATATTCAGGGTTGATTTCCTTTAGGATTGACTAATAATAGCTTAAATGTCATCATTAAGAAGTTCTGAAATATTTCTTTGACATGTTATTATATTGATCCAATGAAAATTTTTATAGAAAGTATGTATCATGGGAAATTGATATATTAGATGGTGGGAAAAGCAGCCTGCAGAATTTTTATACAGCCTAATTATGTTTAAAACAAATGCTATGAAATAGGAAAAAGAAGATTAGAAAGAAATAAAATATAAATTTTGATTATGTTTGGATAGTGGATTTGGAGTAAGTGGTTTTTTCCCCCTTTTTTTCCTTTTCTCAATTTTTTCATTCTCTTTAGTGAGCATATAAGATTTTTTTTCTTTTTTCTATTTTTTTCTTTTCTTCTACTGTCAAATTCCACTTATTTGTCTCAATTTTGTTATGTCTTTATTTTTAAAAAATAGATTCTTTCATATTTATTTGCCTGCCAGCACAGCTAATTCACGCCTGCTTGATTATTGTTTCTTGTCCATGTAACAACCTTACAAATCAATCCCAAGCAACCTGGACCATTGTTCTTATAGTCTGATATCCTGTTGGTCCCTGGGCTCTGTGGTCCATATAAAATTGACCTATAGGTTTCTCAGCCAGCCCATAAGTTTCCCTTTGATGTCTGTTTCTGTTAGGAATGGGAATTATACCTAACTCTTCAGTATTAAATTGAATAAAGTGGGGAAAACCACTAGACCATTCAGGTATGACCTAAATCAAATCCCTTATGATTATACAGTGGAAGCGAGAAATAGATTTAACAGACTAGATCTGATAGACAGAGTGCTGGAGAACTATGGACAGAGGTTCGTGACATTGTACAGGAGACAGGGATCAAGACCATCCCCAAGAAAAGAAATGCAAAAAGGTAAAATGGCTGTCTGAGGAGGCCTTACAGATAGCTGTGAAAAGAAGAGAAGTGAAAAGCAAAGGAGAGAAGGAAAGATATAAGCATCTGAATGCAGAGTTCCAAAGAATAGCAAGGAGAGATAAGAAAGCCTTCCTCAGTGATCCATGCAAAGAAATAGAGGAAAACAATAGAATGGAAAAGACTAGAGATCTCTTCAAGAAAATTAGAGATACCAAGGGAACATTTCATGCAAAGATGGGCTCAATAAAGAAATGGTATGGACCTAACAGAAGCAGAAGATATTAAGAAGAGGTGGCAAGAATACACAGAAGAACTGTACAAAAAAGATCTTCATGACCCAGATAATCACGATGGTGTGATCACTCACCTAGAGCCAGACATTCTGGAATGTGAAGTCAAGTGGGCCTTAGCAAGCATCACTACGAACAAAGCTAGTGGAGGTGATGGAATTCCACTTGAGCTATTTCAAATCCTGAAAGATGATGCTGTGAAAGTGCTGCACTCAATATGTAAGCAATATGTCAGTTTTTGGAAAACTCAGCAGTGGCCACGGGCCTGGAAAAGGTCAGTTTTCATTCCAATCCCAAAGAAAGGCAATGCCAACGAATGCTCAAACTATCACACATTTGCACTCATCTCACATGCTAGTAAAATAATGCTCAAAAATCTCCAAGCCATGCTTCAGCAATACGTGAACCGTGAACTTCCAGATGTTCAAGCTGGTTTTAGAAAAGGCAGAGGAACCAGAGCTCAAATTGCTAACATCCGCTGTATCATCAAAAAAGCAAGAGAGTTCCAGAAAAACATCTATTTCTGCTTTCTTGACTATGCCAAAGCCTTTGAGTGTGTGGATCACAATAAAGTGTGGAAAATTCTGAAAGAGATGGGAACACCAGACCACCTGACCTGCCTCTTGAGAAACCTGTATGCAGGTCAGGAAGCAGCAGTTAGAACTGGACATGGAACAACAGACTGATTCCAAATAGGAAAAGGAGAACGGCAAGGCTGTATATTGTCACCCTGCTTATTTAACCTACGTGCAGAGCACATCATGAGAAACACTGGGCTGGAAGAAGCACAAGCTGGAATCAAGATTGCCAGGAGAAATATCAATAACCTCAGATATGCAGATGACACCACCTTTATGGCAGAAAGTGAAGAGGAACTAAAGAGCCTCTTGATGAAAGTGAAAGAGGAGAGTGAAAAAGTTGGCTTAAAGCTCAACATTCAGAAAACGAAGATCATGGCATCCTGTCCCATCACTTCATGGCAAATAGATGGGGAAACAGTGGAAACAAGTGGCTGACTTTATTTTGGGGGGCTCCAAAATCACTGCAGATGGTGATTGCAGCCATGAAATTAAAAGACACTTACTCCTTGAAAGGAAAGTTATGACTAATCTAGACAGCATATTAAAAAGCAGAGACATTACTTTGCCAACAAAGGTCCGTCTAGTCAAGGCTATGGTTTTTCCAGTAGTTATGTATGGATATGAGAGTTGGACGGTGAAGAAAGCTGAGCACCGAAAAATTAATGCTTTTGAATTGTGGTGTTGGAGAAGACTCTTGAGATTCCCTTGGACTGCAAGAAGATCCAATCAGTCCATGCTAAAGGAGATCAGTCCTGGGTGTTCATTGTAAGGACTGATGTTGAGCCTGAAACTCCAGTACTTTGGCCACCTCATGCGAAGAGCTGATTAGTTTGAAAAGACCCTGATGCTGGAAAAAATTGAGGGCAGGAGGAGAAGGGGACAACAGAAGATGAGATGGTTGAGTTGGTGATACTGTCTAATAATCTCATCCTTTGCTGTCCCCTTCTCCTTTTGCCTTCAATCTTTCCCAGCATCTGCGTCATTTCCAATGTGTTGGCTCTTTGCCTCACGTGGCCAAAATATTGGGTTGCTAAGAATTGGACATGACTTAGCGGCTGAACAAGAACAACAACAGCAGTATAATACCGAAGTTCAGTTCAGTCACTCAGTCATGTCCGACTCTTTGTGACCCCATGAACTGCAGCACTCCAGGCCTCCCTGTCCCTCACCAGCTCCCGGAGTTTACCCAGTCTCATGTCCATTGGGTCAGTGATGCCATCCAACCATCTCATCTCAGTCCAAGGGACTCTCAAGAGTCTTCTCCAACACCACAGTTTGGAAGCGTCAGTTCGAAAACACTCAGCCTTCCTTACGGTCTAACTCTCACATCTGTACATGACCACTGGAGAAACCATAGATTGATAAATTATCTTTGTATTTTTTAATGCAACTTTGTAGACATAAGCATAAAACTAAGAACAGTAGATCTCCCAGTCAGACTTATTTTATCCTGTGTTAATATTGTGATGGAGTGATGCTGGGCCATGGTGAGATAGGCCTCAGGTTGTTCTGACCTGACTGTGCTCTAGGGGTCAGCCTCTCAGCAGAGTGAGTCTGCAGCTTTAGTGGAAGTATCAGGCTCCCTGCAGCCCTGACTCATGAGGCTGATTTGAGGTAGAAGACTAATCTGATAATTAAGGTAGCTAATATGATTGCCAAGGAAGAGCTTTTCATGTTGATCAGCCGAATAGGGAAACCTGTTGGGAAATGAAGATAAAATTAGATGGTTGCTTAGAATATAGGAAACCCCACTTCCTCTGATGAGATGTCCATCTTGGTGGCTGTTGACTGGTGTGAGTACCTCCCCATCAGCACCTGAGGAGGGTCCTAGATTTATTCTCCAACTCTCCTTTCCATTCTTTGATTTAAAAGTGTGTGGAATAGGGGCTTTCAATGGCTAATAAGTCAAAAATCTCTCTTGGTACATGTCACATTGCACTTGAAAATATGTGAGTTATTTTCAAATATTTTTGATACCGATTTCTAGCATAGTTCCACAGTGATAAGAGAACAGACTCTGTAGGATTTCAGTACCTTTAGACCATGAAATTTTTGCACCTTGTTTTATGTCCCTGAATATGTTCCAGTGTCTCCTAGTTTAGACTCTATGGGAGCTTGAATATAATTTGGATCCTATTGTTGTATGAAAATTGTATAAATCTTAGTTATGTTCAGTTGGTTCACAGTGCTTCTCAGGTTTACTATATCCTTTTACTTCTCTGTATATTCATTCTGCTAATTTTTGAGAGTTTGATATTGAGTGTGTGTGTGTTAGTCACTGAGTTGTGCCTCTTTTTGACCCCATGGACTATAGGTTTCCAGGCTCCTCAGTCCATGAAATTCTTCAGGCAAGAATATTGGAGTGGGTAGCCATTTCCTTCTCCAGGGGAATCTTCCCAACCCAGGAATTGAACCCAGGTTTCCTGCATTGTAGGCGGGTTCTTTACCATCTGAGCCACCAGGAAAACCCTTTGATATTGAAACCCCAACTAAAAATCTTAATTTTCTACTTTAAAAAATAATTTATATATATGTGTATGTATATATATATATATATATATATATATATATATACACACACACACACACACACACATAGTGGGGCTATATGTAACTCTCCTCTATTTTCCAAGTCTTCTGTAAATATCATACTTTCATAATTTAAAAAAAGGAAAGAGAAAAAATTACTTAAAAAAAAAATATATATATATGGAGTAGGGACTTCCCTGGTGGTCCAGTGGTTAAAAATTCGAGTTCCATTGCAGGGGGTGCAGGTGTGATCCCCGGTTGGGTAGCTAAGACCCTACATACCTCGAGGCTAAAAAGCCAACACATAAAACAGAAACAATATTGTAATAAATTCAATAAAGACATTAAAAATGGTCCACATCAAAAAAAAAATCTTAAAAATATGTGGAATAAATGGACATATTAGCACTTACAGTGTTTTCAGTGTTTTTTAAAGATTCTACCAATATTTGCATCTCCACATGCAGGATTATGAGAGGAAAGCATTTAGAGTGTAGTAGGTATTAACCTCTCACAGAATAATAATTATCTGTTAGGTTTATATAGTTACTTTAGTGCATTTATTCCTTCAGTAAGTATTTATGGAGTACCTGCTGAGTCAGGCGTTGCGCTGGACCCCAAGGATGGGGTTGTAAACAGAGCAGACGTTCTCCTTGCCTCCGTGTAGCCCAGCGCACACGGGAAAAGAAGCGGTGCTGTGACACATGAGTAGAGTTTTGGAAAGGTGACAGCTGAGTGGGAGGGGGGCTGTGAGAGCGTTCCGTGAGGGACCCTAACCTTAATCTCTCCTCGATATTAAGCAGCTCTCTGGGGAGGAAGGCTAGGTGCCTTCACACATTACCTCTCACATTACAGAAAAAAAAAATCCACATTCGGTGAAACAGAGTCACTTTCTCAGCCATCTCTGAGGGAGGAAGTTGCAAAGAGGAGACGAAAACCAAATTTCCTTCCTCAGCCCTCAGCCAATTTCCTGACGAGTACCGCAGCCAACTCTTCATGCTGAGTTGATAGCATTTGTTGAAGGTGCTGTCTCTCTTGCCTCCATGTGAATAATTTTTTTTTGGCCGAGTGATGCAGTTTGTGGTATCTCAGTTGGTCTTAGTTCCTTACATGTGCATGCTCAGTCGTGTCTGGCTCTTGGCGATCCTATGGACTGTAGCCTGACAGCCTCCTCTGTCCATGGGATTCTCCAGGCAAGAATACTGGAGTGGGTTGCCATTCCCTTCTCCAGGGGATCTTCCCAACCCAGGGATCAAACCTGAGTCTTGTGCATCTCCTTCATTGCAGGCAGATTTTTTACCACTGATCCACCAAGGAAGCCTTTGTTCCTTGACCAGGGATTGAACCTGAACCCTTGGCAGTGATAGTTCTGAGTCCTGATAGCTAGACCACCAGGGAATCCTCTCATGTAAATCCTTTGAGTGATGTAATGGTGATTAAATGTATAACTCAGTTTTGTAGGAAGGGTCCACACTGGGAATATCCCAGTCTCATTACATAAAGCCGGACGTCCTATTTTCACTCAGACTTGCACTTGACCAGCGGCCCAGACACCTCTGGATGACACTCAGGCTCACGGCGCATGAGATAGGAGGAGGGGAACATGGTGGAGCACTTGGAGTGGCGCTCACATATTGTGAGAGTTTCGAAAATGTGGCTTATTCTTTTTTTTTCCCATTTATTTTTATTAGTTGGAGGCTAATTACTTTACAATATTGTAATGGTTTTTGCCATACACTGACATGAATCAACCATGGATTTACATGTGTTCCCCATCCCGATCCCCCCTCCCGCCTCCCTCCCCATCCCATCCCTCTGGGTCATCCCAGTGCACCAGCCCCGAGCACTTGTCTCATGCATCCAACCTGGACTGGAGATCTGTTTCACACTTGATAATATACTGACAATGACTCAGGACTCTCTACGCGACAGGAAGTAGCCTTGCTTCATGACGTACATCAAGAATAAGCCACATAGAAAATGTCATTGTCAGTTCCTTCTTTGTTGCTATTCAGCTAGTAGATTTCAGACGCTCTAGAATTTGAACATAAAGAAGGCTGAAGGTTCTGTGACAGCCACATGTTCACCATGAGGATGGGAGCAGAGTCATCTTTATTACACAGCCAAGTGATTAGATACATTAAGCATTGAATGTTGTTTCACAAACTTAAGGTCTTAAAATTTCTTAGAAAAAAAGTGAAAAGTGAAATTGTTAGTTACTCAGTCATGTCTGACTCTTTGCAACTCCATGGACTGTAGCCCACCAGGCTCCTCTGTTCAGGGGATTCGCCAGGCAAGAATACTGGAGTGGGTTGCCATTTCCTCCCCCAAGTGATCTTCCTGACCCAGGGATCAAATCCAGGTCTCTTCCGTTGAAGGCGAATTTTTACTGTCTGAACCACCAAGGAAGCCCTCAGTTTCAGAACCAGTAGGTTACTCAGTTCATGTTAAATTTTGAGACCAGTAGTTGTTGAACATGCTTTAGGAGCTGAGGAGGTTACTTGTCACTGTTTTAAATTTATACAGATACAGTGCTGAGATGATTATGGGAAGATCAGAGCTATGAAGAGACTAAACTAAAAACTGTTAACATCTCCCTTGTTTCTTAGGATTTTCTCTGCTTCCATAAATAGAATATGAACTTCATATTTTCTGTATTTGTAGTTGAAAAGTTGCTTTGTAAAGACATAGCTTTATTGTTTGAATATTCTATTAAAGATCACTTTAGACTTCATTATGAATGAATCTTAAATTGCATGACTCAGTCTTTCCCTTGGCATTTTGTAGGAGTCCATTAAACAAGGATGTTTTTGCCACCAGAGTAAAAAAGATGAGCAGTGATGACAAAGACATCACAGAATTACGAGAACAAATTCAGAAACTTCTCTTACAGGTAAAGTGAGAGATTTTTTAAAAAACAAACACAAAATTCTCATAGTTGTGTTTAATTTTAACATTCAGTGTTAGTAAAGTCATTTCACAGAAATAAACTGTGAGCCTTACCCTCTACATTTCAGAAATTTTTGTCTTCCTCTTTTTGTTTTTAAGTTAAATTTCATTAATCTTGTTTTCCTTTATCTGTGTTAAATACACAGGACATTTTTGTAAGAACCCTTTTGAAGACAGCATACTGAGTCACAGGAAGCAATTAGACAAAGAAGTTATTTATAAATTAGAGAATTCTTGTCTTTCAAATGCTGCCAGTGTTTTAGCTTTGTTATTCTTTGAAATAATTTTAAAAGTGGGGGAGGGGTGGCGGATCTCAGTATCTTTAATCATTATGAGGCAAAAGTATGAAAAAACTATTACCTGTTGAAAACAAGTACCAAAATGATTTCTACTAGAGAGTCAATCAATAAACGTGATGAGTATTTACTGATAGTGAAAGAGGAAAGGAGCAGGTTGCCCTGACTGGACTGACTCCATTTTTAAAAGAAAAGGAACTCCATCTTACAGTCTCGGCGAACTTTTGGACTATATATCTAGGAGGCCATGAAGATAAAATACCAGCAGCCGAATAGGCCTCCCGGGCGTATTCCCAGGCAGACCCCGTACCTAGACCTCCCAGAGCCAGAAGAAATGCAATGTCCACTATGTAATCAATCACTACCTGTAATCTTAATAATACCTATTGCTGTTGGCTAAGTTGTATGTCCAGATAGCTTTAGAATGTGAATTTATGGCTATAACGTGATTGTATCTTTTAATAACATTGTCCAGAGTGGGTTTTAAAGAATTTGGGGATGGGGGCTTGGGTACCTACACTTTGGATATAAACGGTTGTCACAAAAATTGGTCAGGGTCCCTGGGTCAAGAGGAAACTCTGCCTCGGACCCGCCAATGTAATAAACTGCACTCCACTATTCACGCTGTCCTGAGTGAGTTTGCTTCCTGGAGCATTTGGCTACAACAGTGGTATCACTAAAACTGTTGGTCAGTAATTTTCAAAATGTCGTTGATAAAATCTCTGTTATTCAGTTGCTAAGTTGTGTCCGACTCTTTGCAACCCGATGGACTATAGCACAGCAGGCTTCCATGTCATTCACTGTCTCCCGGAGTTTTCTCAAACTCATGTCCATTGAGTTGATGAAGCTATCCAGCCATCTCTAGGGTTCATGAAGTATCTGTTAGGTTTGGAGAGATAGTATGGTATATATTGGTATTTTGTTTGTTCTACCTGTTTTAAATGCAGCATCAAGAGCTAGAGTTTATTTTCATGTTTTGTTAAATTTATTAACTACAGCTTTTTAAAAAATCGTTGGTCTCTAAATATCCACCTAGACTAGAAAAATAAACTCTGCCCTTGAGAATTACTGAGATGAGGAAGAAATGTCCTCTATGTCAGTATCACCCTTCACATGCCGCCCTTAGGATTCCAAAAATTTTCACCTTAATTTAGTGATTACTGCAGGTGAGCTCAAAGGCAGGTAATGCAGATCTCCCCTCTAACTTGCCATGTAACCTGTGGCTACATGGGTCCCCCTCTCTCTTGCAGCCTATTCACGGGAGCATGTCCAGTGGCTACGGGAACCTGGGGAGCAGCAGGTCACAGGAGCCTCAGGTCAGCCTCGTGTCCTCCAGTGAGTCTAGCAGGCACGGCATGGATGAGGTGCCGAAGGCACTGGTGAGCAGGCACGCATGTGCTTCCAAGCACATGTCCTTTTCTCCATGTATTGTTACCCGGGACGCCTTAGCGCCTGTTCTTTACCTCGATGTGTGTGGCTTCTCAGTATATGCTCTTGACTTGAAGACCTGATTTGGTCATAGACCTTCTGATCCACTTAGGTTTGGGAAAAATGTCTGTAAAAAGAAAACATCACCTTTAAGAAGGTGTCATTTGGGCTACTTGTATATTTTCTGAAAATTAGCCTGGTGACTTCCCTGGCGGTCCAGTGGTTAAGACTCAGCACTTTCACTGCAGAGGGCATGGGTTCAATCCCTGGTTTGGGAACTAAGGTCCCACATGCCACAGGGTGCAGCCAAAAAAATTAATAAATAAAATAAAACAAAATTAAAATAAAAACTAGCATGTCGTGGACAGGTTGATGCAAAGCCTCATCGGTACCCGTGTGCTGTGGCTCAGTGGAAGAATAAACTGATGCTGTTATGGTGATTTCAGTCATTCTGTCCTCAGAGAACCAAAAGTTACATGTATTTGGTTTATGTATCTCTTGATGCACATTGTTATAATCTTTGAAACATTGTTCATCACTCTTTTCCCTAAATTGACTTTGCAGCAGGTCTGTGCCAGTGTGAACAAGATCAAGAATCTAGGTCAGCAGCTCCACATCAAGTCGAGGGCCAAGTCAGCAAACAAGCCCCTGTTGGGAGCCCGCTCAGGACGGCCTGGGGGTGAGTCATCAGGACAGCTCCCCACTCTCATGAAGCCAGGACCCCTGGGTGTCCCTACTCAGGTTTACACACCCAGGTGACAGAAGTAACAGTAACCATAATAATGACAGCAGCAGCAGCAGATACTCTCCTGAAAGCTACATGGTGTTAGAATGTAGTCACAGAATACTTCTACTAAAGAACTGATGTTTCTGCTAATTCCAGCTAATTTGTTGATTTCCTCTATATGTTGTTGAGTCTCTAAGTCATATCTAACTCTTTGTGGCCTCATGGACTGGTGATGCCACCCAACCATCTTGTCCTCTCTCATCCTCTTCTTCCCCTGCCATCAATCTTTACCAGTATCAGGGTCTTTTCCAGTGAGTTGTCTCTTTACACCAGGTGTCCAAAGTACTGGAGCTTCAGCTTCAACATCAGTCCTTACAATGAATACTCAGGGTTGATTTCCTTTAAGATTAACTGGTTTGATCTCCTTGCAGTCCAAGGGACTCTCCAGCACCACAGTTCCTCTGCATGAGCAATTTATAAACAAAACTTGTTAATTGTAGATACATTTCAGATAATCAAATATTATTAGAATGATAATCCCTTCCTGTCATTTCAAACAAATGGAGAATGTCAGCGACCTAAATTGAATGGAAAACTTGGTCTTTTTCTTGCTTATATGCTTTTCTTTTCTCAATACGAGGTAAGGAGCATTTCAGAACTGGATCAATCATGATAGTTGACATTATTTTGAGAAGTTAGTCTATATGCATTATAGGTCCACTGGAGAAGGGAATGGCAAACCACTTCAGTATTCTTGCCTTGAGAACCCCATGAACAGTATGAAAAGGCAAAAAGATAGGACACTGAAAGATGAACTCCCCAGGTTGGTAGGTGCCCAATATGCTACTGGAGAACAGTGGAGAAATAACTCCAGAAAGAATGAAGAGATGGAGCCAAAGCAAAAACAACACCCAGTTGTGCTTGTGACTGGTGATAGAAGAATGCTGTAATATTGCATAGGAATCTGGAATGTTAGGTCCATGAATCAAGGCAAATTGGAAGTGGTCAAACAGGAGATGGCAAGAGTGAGTGTCGACATTCTAGAAATCAGCAAACTAAGATGGACTGGAATGGGTGAATTTAACTCAGATGACCATTATATCTACTACTGTGGGCAGGAATCCCTTAGAAGAAATGGAGTGGCCATCATAGTCAACAAAAGAGTCCAAAATGCAGTACTGGATGCAATCTCAAAAACAACAGAATGATCTCTGTTCACTTCCAAGGCAAACCATTCAACATCATGGTAATCCAAGTCTATGCCCTGACCATTGACGCTGAAGAAGCTGAACTTGAATGTTTCTATGAAGACCTACAAGACTTTTTAGAACTAACACCCAAAAAAGATGTCCTTTTCATTATAGGGGACTGGAATGCAGAAGTAGGAAGTCAAGAAACACCTAGGGTAACAGGCCAATTTGGCCTTGGAGTACAGAATGAAGCAGGGCAAAGGCTAATAGAGTTCTGCCAAGAGAATGCACTGGTCATAGCAAACACCCTCTTCCAACAACACAGGAGAAGACTCTACACATGGACATCATGAGATGGCCAACACCAAAATCAGATTGATTATATTCTTTGCAGCCAAAGATGGAGAAATTATACAGTCAGCAAAAGCAAGACTGGGAGCTGACTGTGGCTCAGATCATGAACTCCTTATTGCCAAATTCAGACTTAAATTTAAGAAAGTGGGGGAAACCACTAGACTCTTCAGGTATAACCTAAATCAAATCCCTTATGATTATAGAGTGGAAGTGAGAAATAGATTTAATGGACTAGATCTGATAGAGTGCCTGATGAACTATGGATGGAGGTTCGTGACGTTGTACAGGAGACAGGGAACAAGATCATTCCCAAGAAAAAGAAATGCAAAAAGGCAAAATGGCTGTCTGAGGAGGCCTTACAAATAGCTGTGAAAAGAAGAGAAGCGAAAAGCAAAGGAGAAAGGGAAAGATATAAGCATCTGAATGTAGAGGTCCAAAGAAAAGCAAGGAGAGATAAGAAAGCCTTCCTCAGTGATCAATGCAAAGAAATAGAGGAAAACAATAGAATGGGAAAGACTAGAGACATCTTCAAGAAAATTAGAGATACCAAGGGAACATTTCACACAAAGATGGGCTCAATAAAGAACAGAAATGGTATGGACCTAACAGAAGCAGAAGATATTAAGAAGAGGTGGCAAGAATACACAGAAGAACTATACAAAAAAGATCTTCATGACTCAGATAACCATGATGGTGTGATCACTCACCTAGAGCCAGACATCCTGGAATGTGAAGTCAAGTGGGCCTTAGGAAGCATCACTATGAACAAAACTAGTGGAAATGATGAAATTCCACTTGAGCTATTTCAAATCCTAAAAGATGATGCTGTGAAAGTGCTGCACTCAATATGTCAGCAAATTTGGAAAACTCAGCAGTGGCCACGGGCCTGGAAAAGGTCAGTTTTCATTGCAATTCCAAAGAAAGGCAATACCAAAGAATGCTCAAACTATCGCACATTTGCACTCATCTCACACGCTAGTAAAGTAATGCTCAAAATTCTCCAAGCCAGGCTTCAGCAATATGTGAATCATGAACTTCCAGATGTTCAAGCTGAGTTTAGAAAAGGCAGAGGAACCAAGATCAAATTGCCAACATCTGCTGGATCATCAAAAAAGCAAGAGAGTTCCAGAAAAACATCTATTTCTGCTTTATTGACTACGCCAAAGCCTTTGAGTGTGTGGATCACAATAAAGTGTGGAAAATTCTGAAAGAGATGGGAATACCAGTCCACCTGACCTGCCTCTTGAGAAATCTGTATGCATGTCAGGAAGCACAGTTAGAACTGGACATGGAACAACAGACTGGTTCCAAATAGGAAAAAGAGTATGTCAAGGCTGTATATTGTCACCCTGCTTATTTAACTTATATGCAGAGTATATCATGAGAAATGCTGGGCTGGATGAAGCACAAGCTGAAATCAAGATTGCCAGGAGAAATATCAATAACCTCAGATATGCAGATGACACTACCCTTATGGCAGAAAGTGAAGAACTAAAAAGCCTCTTGATGAAAGTGAAAGAGGAGAGTGGAAAAGTTGGCTTAAAGCTCAACATTCAGAAAACGAAGATCATGGCATCCTGTCCCATCACTTCATGGCAAATAGATGGGGAAACAGTGGAAACAGTGGCTGACTTTATTTTGGGGGGCTCCAAAATCACTGCAGATGGTGATTGCAGCCATGAAATTAAAAGAGGCTTACTCCTTGAAAGGAAACTTATGACTAATCTAGACAGCATATTAAAAAGCAGAGACATTACTTTGGCAACAGAGGTCCGTCTAGTCAGTTCAGTTCAGTTCAGTCATTAGTTGTGTCCAACTCTTTGCGACCTCATGAATTGCAGCACACCAAGCCTCCCTGTCTGTTACCAACTCCTGGAGTTTACTCAAACTCATGCCCATCGAGTCAGTGATGCCATCCAGCCATCTCATCCTCTGTCGTCCCCTTCTCCTCCTGCCCCCAATCCCTCCCAGCATCAGGGTCTTTTGCAGTGAGTCAACTCTTCACATGAGGTGGCCAAAGTACTGGAGTTTCAGCTTCAGCATCAGTCCTTCCAATGAACACTCAGGACTGATCTCCTTTAGGATGGACTGGTTGGGTCTCCTTGCAGTCCAAGGGACTCTCAAGAATCCTCTCCAACACCACAGTTCAAAAGCATCAATTTTTCGGCGCTCAGCTTTCTTCACTGTCCAACTCTCACATCCATACATGACCACTGGAAAAACCACAGCCTTGACCAGACGGTCCTTTGTTGGCAAAGCCATCTAGTCAAGGCTATGGTTTTCCAGTAGTCATGTATGGATGTGAGAGTTGGAGTATAAAGAAATCTTGATCCCAAAGAATTGATGCTTTTAAACTGTGGTGTTGGAGAAGACTCTTGAGAGTCCCTTGGACTGCAAGGAGATCCAACCAGTCCATCCTAAAGGAGATCAGTCTTGGGTGTTCAATGGAAAGACTGATGCTTAAGCTGAAATTCCAATACTTTGGCCCCCTGATGCGAAGAGCTGACTCATTGGAAAAGACCCTGATGCTGGGAAGGATTGAGGGCAGGAGGAGAAGGGGACGACAGAGGATGAGATGGTTGGATGGCTTCACCAATCAATGGATATGAGTTTGGGTGAACTCCGGGAGTTGGTGATGGACAGGGAGGCCTGGCTCGGTTCATGGGATCACAGAGAGTTGGACATGACTGAGCGACTGAACTGAAATTGATATATCTGTAACTTCACACACACACACACACACACACACACACACACATATGAGCTTCCCTGGTGGCTCAGATGGTAAAGAATCTGGGAGACCTGGATTTGATCCCTGGGTTGGAAAGATCCCCTGGAGAAGGGAACAGCTACCCACTCCAGTATTCTGGCCTGGATAATACCATGGACGGAAGAGCCTGGCAGGCTACAGTCCATGTGGTCACAAAAAGTCAGATACTACTGAGTGACTTTCACTTCACTTCACTTCACTTCACATATGTATAAGTTTCATAACTTCTTAACTTATGTAAGTTTCTCTTTTAATTTTTCTCCCCAAATATTAATATAATGTTTGAAGCTATTGTAGATTTTGGTCACCTAAATGTAATTGATGGTTTCTACCATTGTCAAATGGGTGTTTTACACAGTAGGGTGAAATTTCTTATCTAAAGTCAGTAATAATATAGTAGCTGTGTTTTTTGGGGACTTGACATGATTTCCACAACAAAATATCAAACTGTGGCTCCTACAGGTGGTATCACTTGGAGTCCATAGGATGTCCTCTGGATACAGAAAGTCCTGTACTTTAGGTTTTTGTACTTTTTCTTCACCTTGACAGAAGGTTTCATGTTCTGTTTGTTTCTTTTGCTGTAGATGTAAGGGCACAAGATAGAAAAGACAACTTTTTTTGTTGCTTGACACCATCAG